CTTAGATATTAGCTACGAGTATTAGAATTATTATTATAAAGTATCATTTATTAGTTAGTGAGTTAGTATAAAGAATACCCTTTGTGGGGGGAATAGTGTAAGAGTTGCGATACTGGAGCACTCAGATTTATATATCTGATAATTATAATAAATGGAGCTCAGTTCAAATTACATCTCTTCCCTTTACTCTTACAGCAGGGTGATTCATGTGTTATAGGTCACAGTGCCCGCTTGCACATCTTTAATACAGGTTTTCCTTAAATTTGTTAAGGACTAAATTTTTTTTAAAAAAAAAATTTATTATTGAAAAAAAAGCCAGTTATAATTTAGTCGATGTTATGAGGTTGATATTCATCGGACGAAGGATAAGTGATTTCAAGCAAATCTGACAGAACAGGAGAAACCGTCGTGACACTGCCGTTGATCGTACTATCATTCGTAGAGGGGGTGGAGGCAGTGTTGTCGGGGAAGGTGTTGTTGGGGAGGGTGCTGTTGACGACGATGTTGCTGGTGTGGGTGTTGTTGACGTCGGTGTTGTTGTAGACGCTGTTGATTCTGGCAGATGAACTGTTGAACTGATAGTCATAGGCTTCAGGAATACCATTGACATCAGGGCGGAACTAGTGGCTGGTTTTGTTGGTGTAGTCCTAGCCACCGTTTTCAAACGCATTGTAGCTGGTAGCGTTCTTGTTTCTTGAGCCGAAACCCCTTCTCAATACCATCAGCATCTGGCGCTGAATATTCAAACTGCCCTGCATCTGCTCAGCGATGCGAGACTGCACCTGGTCCCGTTTCTCTATTGACTCCAACATCGGACCAAAAACCGTTGTCGAACAAGCAAGATATCTATTGAACGTTCAACGCACGGGCTCTACATGATCAAAACAACGTGCCTCAATCTCATTCATAGAGGTGACCAGATGCTCGATCGTTTGGTCGACCGCTCTACTTTAACTGGCAGCCCAACGAGCCACACCCTTCTCAGCACCATCGTTGTTGACGGCTATTACTTGTCTAGCACCGCAACTTTACCACGATTATCTATCGTCTCTCCAGCAAGAGAGGCATACACAGTAGTTGGCGTCACGGTGGGCACCTCACTGGTGGGGTTCTCCATCGCATCATGGTAAACCCAGTTTTCAATCCGTGCCGTACCAGTTGGATTTAACCTAGCATTGCGATCTCTGAAGGCAGCACAGAGAGCATACCACTTAGACTTCAATGGACTCAAAGGTCAGCTTCCATTGGTGATGTTTTTGGTCTTGAATGAGTGCAACATGCACGGTACAATTCATTTCGTTCAGCTAGAGTACGATTGGACTCCAACCTCTGGTTGTACATCAGCATACAATTCAATAAGAGCAAAGGTGCTAGCTGAATTCCATTTTGAGCGCGTGTATCTGGTATCCGAAACTTAATAGTGGCAGCAGCATCCGTGGCATCAGTAGTGGCAGTAGCAGGTGCAGCAGGGGAAACGGCAGCAGCAGCAGGAACGACGACAGGAACCTTCCTGTTCTTCTGAAACAGTAGTAGCATGCGACGGTTGCTACCATTGGTTACACGATTCGATGTCACTTCAATAAATTGGTGATTGATAGGGTTGTTGTTGTTGTTTTGATTGTTCATTTTAAAAAAAATAAGGTAAGGAAGCAGTTATAAAAGTTATTTTGTATTTCTGAATTTTAGTAGTTATTTTAGGACCGTTTATTACTGGAGGCTTCACATTCAATGCCAACAGATTTTCATTTTTAAGCAGTAGATTAATAATAAAAAAATATTGCAACATTATTTTTGACAGAATTCAATTTAGGAAAAAAATATTTTTAAAAAAAAAAAAAAAAAGAAAAAAAAACCGGAGCTTGTCCATATTATTACATCTCCTATTTAAGAGCTCAATATATTTTGTTTCATCTCAGCAGCCTAAATCCTACAAATCTGAGAATTCTGGTCCGTTATCCGTCAAGATCCAATAGGTTTGCGTACTCTGGTCCGTTATCCCTCAAAATCCGTTGATTTCAGGGTACTCCGGTCCGTTATCCCTGAATATCCGTTGACTTCAGGGTACTCCGGTTTGTTATCCGTTGTTATGCGATAATTCAGAGAATTCTGGTCGGTTATCCCTACAGATCCGATACTTAAGGGTTCCCTGATTACATGAAACTAATGACCAAAATAGATTATAAGAAATTAGAAAAGTTCCGAAATGTTTCAAGTACTCTAAACTTCTATGGGAATTATCTGAGCAAATTTCACATATAAGATAAGTCGCAAAACATATCAGAACATTCTTAAACGTGCGTTGAATTTCAAAAACGTATATACAGCGCCCTCCAAAGTATCGTAACCGTTTAAGGTTTTCCTATTTTGTAAAATGACATCACATACTGATTCATAGGGAGACTTTTCAAACAATTTTATTTTTCTGTTTTTTGTTATTATTAAGTTATGGCATCCAGTTAACAGCGCTTCATAGGAAATATATAAGCTATTATCACTCTTATAAAATGTTAAACCCTTTTTTTTCATAACCTTTACTGAAACATTTTTATTCAAAACATGTAACCCATTTTGAGTCGACCACATTTTTGTTTAGTCCAATGCTGCTCTAATGGTATCATTCCTTTGGAGACTGGTTCTAGTATTGGTGTCTTTAACAGAGCTATACACAAAATTAATCATGATAACTCGCTCAATTAGTGGGCCTGTGAGGAGTGGATCGGGGCAAGAGCAGAACACAATAATTATTATGGTGAGGACAAAAGAAACAGACATTATATATCTATTAGTATTAATACATATAAAATGGATGAGAGTAGAAAACGTTTAATTCAAAGAAAAAAAATTGATAAGATCTTGAATACAGAAATATCAACAAATAAACATGACTACAGTACCAGAGGAGTGTGTGGTGACCTAGCAAGGATATAGCCATATTAGAGCTAACAAAGGTTTATCCATGCTGATACCATTTGTGATATAGGCTTTACAATAAATGTCATAGTAAAAACTAGAAGGATATTACATCACAAGTCTAACTTAGTACGTCTGAGAAATTCTTAAAATTTAGTTTAAAGCAAAGAGATTTAAGAAGACTTAACATTTATTAGAATTAATTTATGATGATAGTTTTTGACTGCTATTTATGATGGATTATTTATTGAAATAAAAGAACCAACTAAAGAAATGCAATTATGTGAGCAAAAGTTAAACGTAAATAGGAGGGAGAAAATCTTACCACCAAGTTGGTATGGATGAATTGAATGGAAAGACAACAAAAGAGACTACAACTACAACAAAATGACACACAACTACACTTCACAGCATACAATTAACGACTGCTAGATGTCAATGCTTAAGATTAAAACTTACCAGTGTGTCAAAAGTTAAATGGAGAAAAGATAAAGTAAAGAAGAAGAAAAAAAAGAGAAGGGAAGACGATGATGCTTTCGCATACAACGTTTTATATTCGAAGGCAGGAACATGAAGAAAAAAAAAGATGAAGTACAAATGAGACAAAATCACGTTACTTCAAATCAGAAGAAGACTAATTAGTGACTATCTAATAATCGTATACATTTTTGGTTAATCAATGATAACTTCAAGATGGCACTAGAGATATCAACACAGCAGACAGTCTTTTATATAGATACTGGTACATTTCATTTATTAATAAGAGACATTTTATGAACAGTCTGAAACTACTCCTATAGTCATTTTATAATTTTACTTTACCTTAAAACACAACAATATATACAATGCTACAAGTCCCAAAAACGGCTATACTGAAGCCGAAATTTTGCATAGCATAACGTAAATGGAGACATAGAACAACATTGAACTGAGAGTTTGTTTTTTCAAATGAAATTCCTACGATAGATTGATCGTTTTGCGTTCAAATATTTGTTACTTTGATAGACAACAAATACAAACTAATCGGCCTTCTATTTCATTAATTTTTAGTTACTAAGAATTACGATACATAATTGAAACTGTGTATACCAAGTATTTATTCGAAATATTCGAAAGGGTAATCAGGAACTGACAAAGTAGTGATAAAACGATAAACAACAACAAGCCGTCAATCGTAAACTTCTGGACAGGGGAAAGAATTGAAATACATTTTGAATAAATCCAGCAAAGCGAAGATGAATAGATGCGGTATACAGGATAATTCCTCACTAAAAACCAAGAAAATAACTATATCAGCAAATACTATTTTTTGACATATTTTTAAACAGCCTACATTGTACGGATACCTAAAATACCGTTGCCTGCGCCGCTATGCAAAGTATTACAACAAAATAACTTGATTTCGTCTCAAGCAGAAACCAATAAAAAAAAAGGATATACAAGACAAAGACTAGAAAATATTTCGTAAAAGTCGAAAACAATTTATAAAAATATGGAAATAGTTTTAATCGATTAAGAATTGTCTTTTCTGACAATTTGAGTAGTTAAAAAAAAGTATATCCCATAAAGCAGATCTGATGCATGAACTTAAAAGTTAATGGTGTCAACAAACAAAACGTCCGACAGCCACAGTACTAGACTACAGTTTTAACAGTTTTAGAATCATATCAATTAGCCATCTACGAAATATACTGGACCCATATCTAGAACGGACCAGATAACCATAGGATTTAGCAAAAAAATGCCCAAGTTGAAGAATAAGTCCTTATTTATAGCATACACAACAAGTTGAAAATCTTAAATTTTACTGAAATTCGGTCCCAAAACGTAAATCCGTGAGCAAACTTTAATTTTTTAAAAAAATAGAAGCTGCTGATTGGATGAAAAACCAAAATACGTTATTAAACACCAGATGCATCAAAAAAAAGACGCTAAAAAAATATTGAGGATGCACAAAACGTTTAAATGGGTGCCCTTGAGGGGTGAGGATAGAAGGTCATGGATTTGACCGTTTTTATTGGATAACAAAATGAAGTGAACTTCATTTTTTAAAAAAATGACATGTAAAAATCTCGAAATTATTCTTAAGGTTAATCTTGAGAATCGTTTTTCAACATTTCGAAATTTCTGTCCGTATTATGGAACCACCAAAGAGTACCAAACTTACACCTGTTAATTATTGAGTATTGAACATCATTTATCACAGTTGAATGCGACATGTCCAATAGATCAACAGCAACCAGCTTGGACACCAGCGTACTTAGAGTTTCGTCCGATTTGACCGCGACAAGATTGCCACCATCGTCCACCTGGTAGTTTGTGAAGATGCTTGCGTTGTTAGAAAGCACTTGCACTGGTTTTTCAACAAGCGTATAAACCTCCAGTTCGACGAGATCACGGCGTTTCAGCACAACCTTTCCAAGTAAACGACGTTTCCCACCTTCGCCAAGATCGAGATCAAAGACAGCCACCATGTTAAAAGCGACTCTCCTACCGGCGATGTATGCAGCACTACCATACTCACGGTTTGCGTTAAAGTACATTTTTTGACCAAAACGACTAAACCATTCCCTCACCTTGGAACCACAAGACTTCGCATCATTGTCCAAGTAACAACCCATCGCGACATTCCTCAAAGACAGCGCACGACCATTGATCAGGGCCAAGTCACGAGAGGGGTTTTGCTTGTACGTTTTCATGATTATTGCCCGAATGTACTTGTTAAACTATTCATTCTTTTCAGTAGCCAAAAGCACAGGAGAAGCAAAACGAATACAATCCTCCACCAAGTGAATGATCAAGTGTGTTTTCAAACGATTGCACAGAGGGCCACCTGTCTTGGCGTATGGAATGGAAGTACCATTAAGCTGTTCACAAGAACTAGCACCAGCACGAGAACGAACACCAGCACGCGCACCAGCATGCGCACCAGTAGCATGCGCACCAGTTGCAGCAGCAGAAGTTACGTCTTCATCGTCAGAATCTTCACCTTCTTCAGGAGGCACAACATCACGAAACATCACCGATGGCTCATCTACATTTTCAGTTGTAGAAGCTTGACTGGCTCTACGACCGCGACGAGAACGCCTGTTACTTGGAATTGCCGTATGATCAAGGTTATCCAAAGCAACGATTGAATCATTGGCAGCCTTTCGAAGCATCTCAACAAATTCGTCAAGTTGGTGTCAGGAACGAGGGAGGAACAAGACAGGCAGGACAGGACAGAGAATGAATGGCTTCTTGAAGCAGGTTATTTAGTTAAGAATAAAAGGGGGGAAAGAAAAGAGAAGATGATTATGAATATATCTGATAAAGAAAACTGGGAGAAGTGAAATGTATCAGCTATATTTATAGAGAAAGGAAAACAAGAAATTAAATAAAAGATAAGCATTGACAAAAGTTAGTCATAGCTTATGTGGATCATGA